GTCTGCTCCCCTCTGGTGGGCTTCTGTCCAGTCTGCTCCGTCGTGGTGGTCTTCTGCTCTGTCTGCGCCGGCCTGGTGGTCTTCTGCTCCATCTGCTCTGGCCTGGTGGTCTCCTGTCCTGCTTTGGTGGTCTTCTGCTCCGCCGTGGGGATCTTTGGACCCGTCTGCTCAGCTGTGGTGGTCCTCAGCTCCACCTGCTCTGCCGGCTCCACCCTGGTTCTTTGCTCTGCCCTGGCTTCCTGCTTCGCCGGCTCTGCCTCAGTCCCCATGTCCTCATCCACTACATGGACCTGGCCCTCCATCCCTCCCCCTGATCTGCTTCCGCTCCACCTTCCTCCTAGTCTGTTTAGGAACTTTTGGAAGCGCTCCTTCGAATGAGGGTTTTGTCATGAATTCGGTACCTGCTGTTCCTCCCAGTCGCCACCAGAGGTCTCCATCACCTTTTCCTTACCATACTCCATCTCCCATAATACCCTCTGCCTGGTAGAATCAATAAATTATGATTTATTGCTATTGTTAATGTATATGTTATAAATAAATATTTATTTAATTTGATCCATGTCTGTACTTTCCACTATTTTTTACATAAAGATTACTTTGCCATTATCAAATTCTCACTTAATCTTGTATAATTTAAAAAGACTTTTTGGAATTTATATTTAAGAATGAATGAATGAATTTGATTTAGTAATAGTATCGAATTTAAATATTTACTTTTTATTTTATTATACTTTTTAGGATATGTATATAAGAAGAGTTTCTTGAGCACTGAATCATTAGAATTTTTTTTTTTTTATGGTGACACTGATGATCATGTGACACTGAAGACTGGAGTAATGCCTGCTGACAATTCAGCTTTGCCATCACAGGAATTAATTATATTTTAAAATATATTAAAATAGAAAAGAGTTATTTAAATTGTAATAATATTTTACAATATTTCTGTTTTAAATATATTTTTGATCAAATAAATGCAGCCATGGAAATCATAAGAGACTTCAAAATCATTTAAAAAATATTACCCCATTCTTTTAAATGGTAATGTATACAGTTCATAAACATACGTACATACAGTACATACACACATACCACTATACTGTATGATCACTACCAGAAACATGCCTTGGCTGTCACTAAATCAGTTCCTGGTTGTAAAAGGCCTATAGTTGTAAAAGTCACTATAACTGTCATATTTTAATTAACTATATTATGTCAAAAGGCTTAATGATCACATACTATTTACTGTAACTTTTATACAGTTTATGAAAGCAAAGACAAGAACATTAGTTTAGTAAGCGAGGACCATGCAGTTCAGTCTAGAGGCATAGATCCACATAAACCTCTCCAATACATGTAAAACAACAGACCTTACGGTCTACTTTAAGACCTGGGCACCTGGCAGTATTAAAAACAAGATGTTTATAGACTGGATACTCGATGGAGCTGTTTTATGCTAGAAGAAACCCCCAGCCTCAGTCTAAGGCTTCAGGGGGAGATTATGTTCTTTAGGCTCTAGTGTAAGAAACGGCCTCAGATGATCTCCTTCTCTGTCATTGGTTAGTGTCACTGCCTCTGATTTAGTGGATGGGGTTGTGGAAACAACAATTGCTGCTTTGCGTCACTTTATTTGTCCTTTGTGAAAGAGAAAAGTGGACATTTGCTTTGGGTTGGAAGGGTCACCCACTGAGCTCCAGCACAATGCTGTAGTGGAGCAAAAACACTGGTTGTAAAGCTTGATGTGAAATTAATTTTTATAAACTTTATAAAAAGCCACTACGAATAATTGTTATTAAGTGTATCATAAGGATATGGGGTAACATTTTCATTAACTGCTGGTTTGAGAGGTATTTTTCTGGCTTTATCTTTATTTGTATTTTTTTATTTGGGAGAGATATTTTGCCTAATTGCTCTCAATTAGGACTTGATTGTTTCCACTGGGAATTAATTGCTGACTGTAAAAATTGTATGTTAAGTACCAAAATGGAGCCAAGTGGTTCAAATATAAGAGGGTTGGTCACCAAAAAATCTAAACTTTTTAGAAGTAAAGTAGGTCAAAAACCTTTTATTTGGAATTATTAATTATGTATACAAATGCAACATGCAAAAGAAGACCAGGAACAAGTTTTAGGAATAGTGGCAGTTTTGATTTTATGTCACATTTTGTTTTTACAGGTTTGCCAAAAATGCTAGTCATCAGAGACTATTTTGGGGTTCCCAGTCCTCTGGGCGGACCACCGCTGAATGCTCAGATTGGTGATGTCATAGAGGTCATCTGTGCCGATCCTCACAGCTCCTGGTGGCAGGTCAGATGAAGTACAGCACTATTTAAACACCAAATAGCGGAATTGTGTTCTGTGGTGTCATGGGACCCTGAAGCTTGATCACAACATATATCAAAGCAAATAGGGCACACATAACCTTTTCCACAGATATGTCATGTGACATTTCAACAAAAAGATAAATGCAATAACCTGTATTTCCATAGCCAACGGAAGTTAATTATAAAATTTGATTTAAAGTAATTTAACGTCTCATCCGAAGGACGGTGCTTGTTGACAGTATAGTGTCCCCATCACTATACTGGGGTGTTAGGACCCACACAGACTGCAGGGTGAGCACCCCCTGTTGGCCTCCTTAGCACCTCTTCCAGCAGCAACCTAGTTTTCCCAGGAGGTCTCCCATCCAGGTACTGACCAGGCTCAACCCTGCTTCGCTTCAGTGGGTAACCAGTCTTGGGCTACAGGGTGATATGGCTGCCGGAAAATTACTGTATTTGATCCGTCTGCTCCGCCGTGGAGGTCTTCTGCTCCGCCCTGGTGGGCTTCTGTCCCGTCTGCTCCACTCTGGTGGGCTTCTGTCCAGTCTGCTCCGTCGTGGTGGTCTTCTGCTCTGTCTGCGCCGGCCTGGTGGTCTTCTGCTCCATCTGCTCTGGGTCTCCTGTCTCCTGTCCTGCTTTGGTGGTCTTCTGCTCCGCCGTGGGGATCTTTGGACCCGTCTGCTGGTGGTCCTCTTATTTCCATTGTATCGTGCAGGAAAGCTTTGGCCATTGTGAAACTTCATTGGTCCAACTCCAGCTAATTGTTGTCACAAATCCGGTTCATGGTTTTCCGTCTGCTTGCCACCAGAGGTCACTTTTCCGTTACATTGACTCTCACACCACACAGACTGTTACATGTCACTCCGGACTACAGTTCCCATCATCCATTGCACTGATTTCACACACACAGCTGAATGCACTGATTACACACACACAGCTGAATCCAATCAGACACGCTTTATAAGCCCTGGACGTCCTCATTCAGATCGCTGCGTATTGTATGCACATATCGCTAGTCAGCGATAGCTACGTTACGGAGCCATTTTGTTAGCCATTGTTTATTTCCAAGTCCTAGTCTTAGTCTAGTTTTGCCTTGCCTGTTTTCCAGTCCTTTGACTATTGCTCGTGTTTACAGATTACCCCTTTTGTTAAGCCCTCTGTTTTACGTTCGCCGATCGATGACCCACGCTTTCCTTGGATTGCTCTTTGTCTTACCTGTATTGTACTTGTGTTCATTTTTTAAAACGTATGTTTTTAATAAGTAGCTAGATAAGAAGGTTTAGGCTGTGAGTGTGTGCAGTTTATATTGTAGTACAAAATGTAGAAGTATCGTCAAGTTATGTTTACCACAGGCTTTATTTTATTCATAAATTGAAAAACCCCATAGGAAAATCTCAAAAGAACCCGCGGTGAATTACACTTCCTGGTTCTGACGTCACAGTTCCCCCACTCTATTTCAGATCTATTAATGCACTTAATACTTACATTTCATGTCCTGAAGAACAGTTCTCCTCACA